TTTAGGTATGGCCATTATTTCATACGGAAGGGTGTGAGGTGTTTTAAATGTAGCACATTAGAGGTGGCTGAAAGACATGCTCGAGTCAAACCAATTGGCGTTCTCTGATGACAGTTGCCCTTGATCAGTCAGTTAGGCATCTCTTCTAGGGAAGCATCCGTAACTGAATACGGGCAACACCAACGGTTGAAAACTAGTTCTCGCTTGCTCGTGTCTTCCACTCTGGGCAACAATTACATGCCTTCAATGGTATCGATCTGACTGTGGCTTGCAAAACACACTTTTTGTGAGAGGCTGATTTTCCGAAATCTCTGGAGGGGCCTCGGAATAAAAAAAATATATTTTCTCGTGGCTTCTGCAATTTCGTTTTATGACTGAGAATTCAGAAGCAGGGTACCTGCAGTTGACTTCTTCAACTGTGGAAGAGTTAAATAATATTGAGTATTAGTCCTTGTGAAGCAGTACTGTCCAATAGACAACGCTACTTATTCTGATGGATTTTTTTTCAGTTTCAATAAGACCAATTTTTTATGTGAAAAATCAACAGTTACTGATATTTCAAATATTCTTCTATCTATGCAAATTAACCGTTGACACAGTGCCTATTCATATATTACTGGCTCTATGACTGTCCATTATCACTGGTCGGGGCGAAGATTTTAAGCACCCGGAAAAAATAAAAAAATAAAAATGAGAAATGGAGTACGGTCGTCACGAAGCTCAGCGGTACAGATGTCATGTGTACATGAAATTTAGTTTACTTTCTTAGCCAAAGAACCTGCTTCCGCTTTCAGTGATGAGGTTGACGATAATAGTCGTTCAAAAATGAAAATGCGGTCCCCTGAAGTTGAAAATGCCCTTAGCGATTTTCACTGCTCAGGTGTGGTTTTTTTGTGGCCTCTTTGCTCAATTTTCGTAACAGTTGATAATTACGGTGAAAAGAGACGCTAATCACCTCTTTCATCATCAGTCACAAGAGGTCTCCAACGTTAACCTATTGCCTAGCAATCCTTGGCGGATGCAATTTCGCGGAGTGCAGCTGTCAATTATAAAAGGAAAAGCGACGTTGATTTACTCGCTTATGCCAAAACTCATTTACAACAACTACCTCAATCCTCATCTTTATTGACCAGCGAAAAATGCAGGGTTTCTAGCGAAACTTTGTGCAGCGACGATAACCAAACCTTCAGAGCTGTATGAACAGCTGATTG